TAAATAAAGCATACAGAAGAGCGTGTGTGCATAGTGCAATAGTATACAAAATACGCACAGCAGGAATAGTGTGTAATTTTGTTTGGCATTTTCTACATGTCAGGCACTCAGGTAGTTATTTCTTCCTTCCTTGGCTTCTTTACTGCATTTCCACTCACTTAGCAGAAGAAAAATTGTGGCATCTTTTCTGCCGTGACTCCAACCTTCTCCCATTGTTCGACACAGAATTGCATGGGAGTATATTTTTAAATATATCTGGGCCCAGCCAGGATGTGAATATGGGTGCTTTCCTCAAAATAACTGAAAACCATTTTGTGAATGAGTGGTACCAACTTTTTGTCTCGGCCCAGAGCATTTTCTTGGAATTTAATTCTGAAAGACACCACTTTTTTTTTAAATGTTTTTAAATGTCCAGCTGGCCCTTGGGTGCGGGAGAATTGAGCTGATCACACTCTCACCACTGCATTCCCACGGTTAATACTTCCTTCTGCCTGTGTTCTGCCCAGGTCCTTTCAGATCACTTCCCGTGAATTTATTGAATGGGGAGGTCACATTGGGAGCTTTGAACCGTGACCCCAGGGGAGGTCAAACTGGGACTCACTGGCTTTGTTCCCTTGTGATCTGGAAGATCAAAGGCCAGAGATTAGGTTGTTTAAAAGAGCAAAAGGCTGGAGATAAGGTTGTATGGGATAGCCTCCACCCTATCTGTAGATGGCACCACTACCTAAGGCAGCTTCGATGGGCGGAGTGGGTGGGAGGAGTCAGGGCAGGGGGACAGCACATAATTTCACTTTGAAGTGCCAGCTTCCCATCTGGTAGTTGGCAATAGCAGCCTTTCCAGATTTCTACCACCACAGGTTTTTGTTTTTGTCGTGATGACCCCAGTCAGAGAAAATGAGTTTTTTGTGGTTTAATATTTAATAGGACTCAAAGCTTGGCAAAAACCTCAGGGATTTGTGCAATATGAACCTGTGACTTCCTGGCCTTATATGTCTGTCTGCAACACACAGGGATTATGCAGAACTACCATGGAGTCCTCATTCTTCCCTGAGTGCAACACACCACTAAAACCCTTACTGGGCAATCCATAGTCCCAGACGTAGAAGGGGACGGGGCTGGGAGAGGTACAGTCCCGAAGTTCTGACTCAGACAATTTTCTATTGAGTCATTTTCAGTCTCTTTCATCTCTGTCAACACACCAGGGGCATTGGGGACAAGCCACTTGACTCGTGGACACTGGGCTGAGGGTGTGGTTGCTGTGACAGCTGCCTCCAGAGTGCGACTGGATGGGGCACAGTCTCAGCTGTGGTCGTGGTGACAGGCGTCTGCTGTGGCCTCACCCACTTTCCAATTCATTGAGCACGATAGCAAAAGACCCCACACCGGGTGGCCTCCTGCCTGAGAGGGTGGAGGAGGAGGTGTGGAGGGAGGGGAGAGGCGTTGCAATGGCCAGGGCTGCTTGGCTTAGCAGCACACACTGGGAGGCATCCGTGCAGGGATGAGTAGGGCAGCATGGTGCTGGCGGGAGCCTCCCTGTAAATTCTTCACATTCCGTCTGCTCAGAGTAATATGCTCCTGAGTAGGGGTCCAGGGTAGCCTCGCGGCAGTTCCTCACCAGCCTAAAGAGATGATTCTACAATCGTCAGAACCCAGTGACCGTCTGTGGGTTGCTACATGCAAAGACATCTCTGGATCAAAGGGTTTGTGTCTGATCACAGTAAATCCCCCCAGGCCTGAAACAAAAAATACGAGTTTTCCATTTTATTCAATCCAGAGCAATTTTCATAGACTAGGCAATTAAGTGTGCATTCATTTTAAAACCATTTTGGAGAATGTCTCATGCAGGTCCATTGTCGCAGATGAGAAGTCCATACCCCACGTCCTTTACTTGCTAACAATGGGACCTTGGAGCAAATCACTTATCTAAATGGTAGTTTCCATACCCGTGAAGTGTAAATAAACCCATCTCAGAAAGTTGTTGGGAGAATTGAGAGGGATTATTCCAGTGGCCTATTTAGCACCGGGCATGTTAGCTTCTATTATTTCTTTTGCTTAAGAGCGTTTGTAGCAAGTAATATACTTGCTTGACTTTACTGTCAGAGAAGTAGTCGTTGTCAACACTCTTGCAACAAATGATAATTTTTATTATTTTAACTGTGGGTCTGTGTGTGGTTGTGTGAGGGCAAGTACCTGTGGAATTCAGCAAACAGGATCAGAGCTCAGATATCAGAAGCCCTGGAGTCACAGGGGGTTGTGAGCTCAACCTGGTCCGCAGTAAGGACAGCGCCTGTCCTTAGCTGCTGAGCCATCTTTTCAGCCTTCCCTATCTGCATTCTTACAAATAGGATGGACCGTGATGCTAATCAATGGGACCACAAAGAAAGCCATCCAGCCTGGCGGTGGTGGCGCACGCCTTTAATCCCAGCACTTGGGAGGCAGAGGCAGGTGGATCTCTGTGAGTTCGAGGCCAGCCTGGTCTACAGAGTGAGTTCCAGGGCAGCCTCCAAAACAATGCAGAGAAACCCTGTCTCAATCCTCCCCCAAAAGAAAGCCATCCAGTTAGAACCAACCCCGCAAGGTCTTTCTCCTGAGCCATTTGCACCCAGACGTGGTTCACACCAGATATCAGAACCCAGCAATTGAATAAAGGCAATGGATTAGACACTTCCAAAAGTGGCATTGAGAGACTGAAAAATAAGTAACTCATCAGTGGCTGGCACATCGTTTAGCCTAATGTAATAGTATCTTCATGCAATGTGGGCAAATAGCCTAGCCAGGAAAGGACAAAAGCAGCCATTGGAGGTGGGCAGTTTGCTTCATGGGTGCTTCTGAGATGACCCTTGCTCTCTACAGCCTCCTATGGGAGAGGACCAACAGCTTCTAGTTCCACTGTGACAGGCACCTGGGGGTGTGTCTGGTGCTGTCCCACGCAATCAGTTCTCTTCTTTGGAGCGCAGACCCTGCCCCAAGAGTTGTTCCCTCTTGCTTGAATACAGAGAGAGCATGCTGTCTCCCCTGTCCTAAGAGGTATGCCATGAAAGGCAGGGAAGACAGAGGAGTCTGTGTTAACAGTGTCTGCGCAGTTAGTAGGCCAGCAGGATTGGCAGCCATCTTGGGGGTACCCTGTCACCACACATCCTAGCTCCAACATCACATAACCATACTAGTAAATTTGAAGAAAGAAATAAGAGGCAGCTGGGAGCAGAGGACATGAAGAGTTCCCGTTTGTGCAGCCATTGCAGTTTATAAAGATTTTGTAAGTATGTCCTCAGCTGAACCTCCCAGAAGCCCTGGAAGTAGCAGAGCCTCAGTCACTCTAACTCAGGAGTTGGGGAGGGAGCTCAGTATGAGAACACTTGCCCATCATGTGTGAGTACTGGACTCATCTCCGTAACTACCAAAAATCAAGGAAAAACGTCTTCACACTCAGCAGTGTAACCAGCTCCGTGGAGGGTCTGCTGGGTTCCCAGCCTGAATGGGCTGTGAGCTTTGTGTAGCCATAGGCAAGTTACACAACTCTTTTGGTGTCAGTGTGCCTGCGTGGGTTGGTTCCACTGATTGTAAATGAACTTTAGTGCTGCTAATGATCTTAGACCTCAAATATTGTCTAACTCATCTAATTAGACTCACTGATCATCCCTTCCATCAATGGCCATTCCGGCCACGGACCTGCATTTCTGAAGGAAGCTCTGAACCCTTCTCCTTTCTGCCGATACACTTCACTGCCCACTCCAAATGCTAAAACCTTCGGGGACCTCCCCCCTGCCCATCATTTACACTAGTGGAGAGAACAAGGGCTTCTTGGGTACTTGTGCTGTGGCAGCAACCTGTGGGGCGGAGGTGCCTCATGCCTGGGGCCGGGCCTGGGCCTGGGGCTGCATTTCAAAAAGATGCAATTCCAGAGCAGGAGAAGAATGCCTTGTTCTCCTGGAACTGGGTCTCAAAGGCTGCTTGAGTCCTGCAAGGTTGAGGTTCTGCAGTTACTGGCTTCTGTGGGGACAGCCTTACTCTCCTAGTCTTTGGTTGCTCTGGGGCAGGAGTTCTGAGTCTCATTAGATGTAGGTTAAAGAACACAACCTTACTCAGGGTACAGACTGTCCCATCTTGTTCTTGGCCATCGTTCTTTACCTTTCACTCAAAGATTTAGCTCAGAGCCTGGCTGGAGACACGCACGCTCAACCAGTGATTGCAGATGGTTGCTTTTTGGACTTGTTTCCATTGCTAAGTGCATGTTTCACTGTAGTCTTCCCTGGCTAAGCAGCACCAGCCTCCAATAACAGACCCAGAGAAGCAGTAAAGGGCTGAAAGCATTGCTTGTGGTGGATAAAGTCCTGGTGTTTTGATCTTGACGCCAGGCCTTTCCTCAAGCTGCCAGCCTGGCTCCGGTGTCAGACACAGCACTGGACTGGGAGGGCTGTGGAAGAATCTGGCTACTCAGGGCAGCATTTCTTATCTAGTGCTGACCTCGCTTAGAGAACAAAGGGGAGTTGTGTGGGACTAGCAAGATCAGCCTGGGCTCAGGACGGCTGTTCATAGTTTTTGAACACTTATAGAACTATTTAGGAAAAATGTTCCAAGAACTCTGCTAGCAAGCGTAGGAAATTCATTAAGTTCCTATTTTGTTAATTCAGTCTTTGCTTCCTCTGAGCACATAGCATGCTGGGAGACACAGGCATTTATAAATAGCTTGTGTAGTAGGGTAACAGATAAGTGCTGGAGGAGAGACACCACACAAATGTGGTACCGCGAGAAACAGTTTCACTGTGTGTGTGGGGGATCCTAAGGGCATTTTGGAAGAACTGTGTTTTAAAAATTGATAGTCTTCTACACAGGCTCGGAGAGGGGAGGAGTCTGAAGAGGGAGAAGTCAGGTGTGGATGCAGCCTGAGTGAGACAGAGCTAGGAGCAGCAAGAGCATCATAGCATGTTAGCCACACCCCTCATTGTTGTCATCAAATGCCTGACAAAAGCAACTTGAGGGAGGGTTCCCTTTGGAGCACAGTCTGAGAAGATGCTATTCACCATGGCGGGGAGAGCGAGGCAGCTGGTCACTGTGTGTCTGACGTGAAGAAGCAGAACTTGGATGCTGGTACTCAACTTCAACTCTCCTATGTATTCTTCTGGGACCCCAGCCCATAGAATGGTGCCATCACCATTCAGGCTGTGTCTTCCCTCATCACAGATACACCCTTATTTCCTAGGTTATTTTAGATCTTGTTAAGTTAATGGTATTAACCATGCGTGTAGTGAAGGACAGAGTTAGGGTGAAATCCATAGAGTAAGCTGGGGAAAGCAAGTATGGGTCTGTCTTCCTTTCATCCTTTCTTCCTTTCTCTGTTAGACAGGATCTCATGTACCCCAAGCTGGCCTTGAACTCCTCATTAGCCAAGGATGACATTAACTTCTGGTCTCCCTGCCTCCCCCTCCAGAGTGCTGGCATTATAGGAGTGTGCTACATGCTAGGGATCAGACTCAGGGCATCTAGCAAGCTAGGCACAAACTCTACCAACTGAGCCCAATTGTAGGCGTTTTTGACTTTGTTCCATGAAGATCCAGGGAAGGAGTTGAAGGAGAAGGTGTCACAGTATGCTAGGTTTGTTTTTCCAGGAAGCTCGCAGAGGCATCAGGGTGCGGATGGACTCATTTTGGATGATAGGGGGTGGATGCAAAAGCATAGTGATGCATTTTAGGAGGATCGGGTACCAAGACTGAGACGGGGGAGGGGAAGCATTCAAGAGCCAGCAGGAAGCACCCGCTAAAGGTTTCTATAGTTCAGATGTGTGTCCCTTTAGAGAAGGCTCCATATTAGCACAGACAAAGGCTTTTGGCTGCTTCTGTGGGACGAAGAGTTGCAGTGGTTCCTTGTGGCCTATTGGATCACACCCAAGCTTCCTGGGCTGTCTTTCAAGGATCAGTTGGCTGGCTCCATTACAGAGCTTTCTACTGATGCTCACACTGGAAACATTTGGGGACTTTTTGGTCAAACCAAACTACTCATGGTTTTTGGCCTTGCCTTGGTTCCTGGCCCTGAAGGCCACTCAGCTGAGGCAATTTGACATGATGTCAGTCACTGCACTCGGGTGCAGACATACGCAGACTCCAATGCTCACCTTGGTCTCGTCCCTTTAAGTTCAATATATTCCATCCTCCTAGGCTCTGTGGGCCTCACACTGCTCTGAGCTATGACAGAGAGACCATTATAGCTTTTGCAAGCTCCCAAGGGAGAAAGCATGGAACAAAGTGGGCGAGCCTCAGCCATACACCCCCCTCTGCCTCTAATCCAATCACTTCTGCTCAGCTTGAGGGGGTCTATATATGAGTTTATGGGGTAATGCATTTGAAAAATTTCTCTGCTGCAAAAGGGCTTTGAATGCAATCACCCATATCAATTTCTTTTTGCTGCAAAAATGCACGAAAGCAGGAGTCTTTGTTCTATTTGCTCTCTAGACAGGCATCTCGAGAGGCACAGAGACACAGGGACTAGGTATCTTGCTCTGGGGCCTTGAAATTTCACTGCTTGTTCATGGGTAGAACAGTTGTTTGCTGTTTTACTTTGAGAAACTCTGAGATCCTTAAGCCAAAGGGTGGTGGTCCTGTGGATCTGTATGGGGCTGGAGGTGGTGCAGAAACCCAAGAGAGCCATGACGGGGACCGGGGACGTGCTACATGTGAGGGCATGCTGCACGTGAGGGCAGGCTGGTATAGGTTTGGTTGGGATGATTTCAAGAAGCCACAACGGGAAGCCTTCACTGCTGCCAACCATACCCAGTCTGCTCTTGAACATGTCCTACGGAATACTCTTTGCTTTCAGAAATTGAACAGCCCTTAGATACCGCTCCTGACAAACAATGTCAGCCTCAGGTTTTATTTTTACCTTTAGATGGAGCCAGCCCCGATCCACCCTTGGCAAAGATGGAAAAAGACTGTAGGTCAAAGCCAGAGTAGTTTGCCTCATGCTGCCTTCTTCCCCTCGTGTCTAACTAAGACAGTCTTCCCCATGCCGGGATGAAGGAAAGCGTGTCCGTGAGTATAGAGGGATGGACCGTATCTGCTTTGAGAGTTCCCTCTTCTCAGTGATCGGCACTGGTGTGGCTGCCCAACCCAACTGCATTCACTCAGCAAGCTCTACCTCATCACCCATGCCACACTGCGTAAGCTCTGCTTTTCCTGATTCTAGGCTCACATCAGGACCACCCAGTTTTTCGATGTGCCATCCTATAAGAGTAATGACATGAAGGTCATCTGCTGTCTGTCACGGGCAGCCCTCGAGCCTTGTTACACTCATTCACAGATCAAATGGCTTGTGTTAGTTCTGTTCATTCATTTGGTGCCTTAAACGTGCTAAACACTGGTCTCAGTGGTGGGACATCGTAATAAGAATGACAAAGTCTTTGACACACAGTGGGATTATATATATATAAATCATAGACATTCTTTGAAATATTGCTGAGATGGTATGGGTATAGTGCTCTATTAATAAAGTGAAAGGTGATGGGGTGATATTGAAAGGTGATAAAGAAAAAGGTGATATTTTGGAGCTAGAAGAATGATGGGAGTTAAGATGTAAATTATGTTTATGCAATCATGAACTATTAAAATCCAGTTTGGGGGCTGAAGAAAAGGCTCAGCAGTTAAGAGCCATTGCTCCTCTTCCACAAGAGAATCTTGTAGAATCTCAGAATCTATATTGGGTGGTTCATAACTGTCTGTAACGCCAGCACCAGGGTACCTGACACCTCTTCTGGTTACTGTTGGCACCTGCATGTGTGTGTGCATGCTTAACACACACACACACACACACACACACACACACACGTGCAAACTGAAAATAAATATAAGAAACTAGCTTCCTGTTACATGCAAGGTCATAGGCTATGAAAAATATTACTTTAATTATGGTTTTTGTATTCAAGCCCGTGGCTTCTGTTGGCCTTTGAGCAGTCCCCAGTACCTTGAGAGAAGTATATGAATAAGGGGGAAAGAAAGAAAGCATCAAGGCTGATGTCTAAAAGAATCTTGTGCGCTACTGACCATGAAGTTGGACATTTATTAAGCCTACTTATGATGTATTTCACAGAAGCATAGTGAACAGAGAAAGCAAATCTGCATCCGATGTACATCTACTCCAATAACCAAATTATCTCCTCCATGATAAAGGATCCGTCACAATCAGCCTCCTGGGCACATGGAACAAGAGGTACCTTTAGGCTGCAGTGTCATATGGAAGGTTTAAGGTTAGTTACTGCTCAAGGATGTTGTGTTCTCAGCAGTGACGCGGCCAGGTTAACCTGTATCTATTGGAATGTCCCTGTTGTTGGACCTGTCACTCAATCCCAGTATTCTCATACTCTCATTGAGAAGATATTTGGGTGAGTAGGAAAAAGACTACACTTCTTAAAACAAGACATCCTGTTCACTGTATGAGGGCCTCGCACACTGTGGACACTTTTGAGAGAGCATTCTCATGGAACAAACCGATTTTTACATCCTGGACCCATTACAAGCATTCATATACTGTTTCCTCAAAAGTCTTTGTCACAGACCTTTCAGTTATTCTTCCAAGCTATTGTCAATGAATTGGCTTAGATCCAGTTCTCAAGTCATTCTCTTTCTAGATAAAATGTATTTGACAAGTCCACTCCAAGCTCTGCACAATGGAAGGATTTCCCTTCTCTAGAGTCCCTCGGGGTTACCCCTTAAGCAGTTCAATGACAGCAGCCCACCTACTGCTGCTGTCTGCATACTATACAGATAGAGCTGTGGCCAGGATTTTTAGATTGAAGGTGGGGGTGGAGATGATGCTATTGAAATGGACTCCTTGGTTTCATAGGTGGGTCTAGATGCTATGACAGTGCTTGGCCACCAGAGGCAGAGTGGGCATAGTTACAGTGAAGAGCATCAGGGTCATAGAAATAACCAATGACCCTTAAGAGTCATTGGATTTGAGGCTGGAGAGATGGATCAGGGGTTAAGAACATAACTGCTCTTTCAGAGGACTTGGGGATGATTCCCAGAGCCACAGTGGCAACTAATAGCCATCTATAATTCCAGTTCCAGAGGTTCCAATGCCTTCTTCTGGCCTATGTAGATCTGGGACACAAATTTGGTACAGAGATATATTTGTCAACAAACACATAATATAATTGTTTAAAGTCAACAAATGGTTAGACTCACTATGGATCTCCTAGAGCAAACTATAAGGGAAACTTGATAAATTCCTTCTGGATAACCCTCCCATTACACTCTCCTCTCTCAGTCCTCCCTCTCCTCCCTTCTCCCTTCCCAAGCAGTCACCCTTCCACTCTCATGCTTTACATGTAGAGAGAAAACATGTAACAGTTGTCTTTCTGAGTCTGGCTTATTTCACTTAATACGATGACCTCCAGCTGCATCCATTTACCTCCAAATAGCAGAATTACACTTTTTTCATAGGTTGAGGTAAATCTCATTGTGTTTATAGCACATTTTCTTTATCCATGCACCTGTTAATGGATGCCTAGACTGATTCCACAGCTTGGCTATTGTGAAAATTGTCATAATAAACATGGATGATCAGATATCGTCTATGGTGAGCTGACCTAGATTCCTTTAGGGATCTACTCCATTGTTAGGTAGCTGGGTCATATGGTGATTCTATTTCTAACTTTTTGAGGAACCATTGCATTGATTTCCATGGTGAGTGTACTAGTTTACATTCAAACCAATAGTGTATAAGGGCTTTCTCCACATCTTCACCACCATCTGTATCATTTGTTTTATTGATGATAGTTTTATTAATCAGGGTTCTCTGAAGGAACAGAACTTGATTGACTGACTGATTGATTGATTGATTGTGTGTGTGTGTCTTATTTTCTGGCTGACAGGATGTGGTCCAGGTAGTCCAACAATGGTTGTCTTATGATAGACAGGCTAAGACCTTGGTAGTTGTACAGACTATGGGTCGGGTTCTGCAGTCCCAGTCTGGTTCTGGAGTCTGGAAGATTCCTGGAGAACTGCTGTTCTTCTGTCTACACTGGAATCCTGAAGAAGGTGGATTTAATCCAGGCTGAAGCACAGGATAGACAGTTTTGCCAGTAAGAGTGAGGGCAGCAGGCAAAAGCGAAGCTTCCTCCTTCTATGTCCTTCTATGTGTGCTGCCTCCAGAATGGAAGCCCATATTTAGGGTGGGTTTTGTGCTTCAAATTATTTCAATAAGAAAATCCCCTACAGGAATGCTGAATAGCTTGGGTTTTAGTTTTTTTCCAATGCAGTCAAGTTGACAACTAAGATTAGCTATTTATTAATTGGAATTAATGGGTATTTAATTTTTTGAGCTCTTAATATAGTCTACATACTAATCCCTTGACTGTGTAGCCGGCAAGGATGTCTTCCCCTCTGTAAGCCAACTTTTCACTCTAGAGACATTTTCTTTGTTATGCTGAAGTTTTTAAGTTTCATGCAGTCTCATTTGTCAGTTCTTGGTATCATTTCCTGTACCACTGAAGCCCTTTTCAGAAGGTCATTGACAGCTGGACGTTGGTGGCGCACACCTTTAATCCCAGCACTTGGGAGGCAGAGGCAGGTCGGATCTCTGTGAGTTCATGGCCAGCCTGGTCTACAGAGTGAGTTCCAGGACAGCCTCCAAAACAATACAGAGAAACCCTGTCTCGGAAAACCAAAAAAAAAAAGAAGGTCCTTGGCTATGTTCGTATCTTATAGTATTTTATCTCTTTTCCCCTAAAGGTTTCAAACTTTCAGCTTCACAAGTAAGGTCTTTAATCCAGTTTGAATTGACTTAATATAGGGTGAGAGATAGGATCTATTGCCTCACTGTTTTACAAGTGGCTATTCAGTTTTCCCTGCACCATTTGGTCAAGAGGCTGTTTTTCCGATGGATGTGTGGTGGTTTGGGTGAAAACATCTTCTGCAGGATTGTGTGCTTGAATAATTAAGGTTGCTTTGGCAATTTGGGGTCTTTTGTTCTTCCATATAAATTTCAGGATTTTTTTTTCATGTGTGAAAAAGAAGCAGAAAATTTAAAGTCTCTTTTCTTTTCCTATTACTTCATTACTCTGATTTTTCTTGAGTTAAATTCTTTCTAACTGTTTGACATTGGTGACTCATGACCTTAAGGCACTGGCTTTCCTCGGGTGTTTTTTTTTTTTTTGGGGCCTCGGGTGTTTTATTAACAGTTAAGAGTGTGTCTTCCAGGATATTTTTCACACCTTTTTTGATGAACAATTCATGTGTCCAGCAGATTTCTTTCAGTGCTAGAAATGGAACTACTGAAACCACATCTCTAATCTCACTCCATGGCTTTAAAAATGTTCACACACTGGGCTAGGATGCAACTCAGCAGTAGAATACTTGCCTGGCATGTACAAGGCCCTTGTTTCTAATCCCAGAGTTACCAGAAGAGAAAAGAAAGAAAGAAATTCATGTTATCTGTGACTTTCCCCCAGCACAAGCTTTCATTAGCCCTTCCACCATATTCCACACAATATGTTCCCCTGGACTATTATGACTTTACGGCAAGACTTTCTGTTGTTTCAGTGCACAGCACCCAAATACATGCTCTGTTTGAGGTTTGCTCAAGCTTTAGGCTCTAAGAATATACACAGATACGGAGCTATGAACTCATCACAAAAACTTGAGCCTGAGTATTGTTCCAGTGGCTTGTCTTCCTTGGTGACTCATGGGTGCCTCTTTTCTGCATTCGGTCCAGGGGCAGTTCCCCGAGGAGGCTCCCACGTGGGCACCCGAGCTTCGGGCTACCCATCCCTACAGGACAGCTCTCGGCTTGCCGATCGTATGTGTGGTATTGATGCAGAACTTAGTTCAGAACCAAGGTGTTCCCAGCACACTTGCTTGTCATGGTCGGTCCAGTGCCTCCTCCTTCCACATATTAAGATGTCTGTAGGGCCGGGCGTTGGTGGCGCACGCCTTTAATCCCAGCACTCGGGAGGCAGAGGCAGGCGGATCTCTGTGAGTTCGAGGCCAGCCTGGTCTACAAAGTGAGTTCCAGGACAGCCTCCAAAGCTACAGAGAAACCCTGTCTCGGAAAAAAAAAAAAAAGATGTCTGTAGGGAGATGAAGACAACTTATAGCAGGTCACTGTTTACATTCATCTACAAATCCCTCCCTCTCTGACCTGCTGAGATGAAGAAGCAGGGACATCATTAAAGCTGGACCCATCATAGGCCAGAGCATCAGAGTAGAAAGAGACGCAAGAGTCTAACCGCCTCCACCCCCCAGCCTCAACTAGCTCTAAGGCTTTAGAAAAAAACCACTTTGCTGTCTCAATTTGTGAAGTGGGAATAATAGCAGTTTATAATCAGAGAGCCTGGCGTGGGCAGTGATTGTGGCTCTGGTTGCGGCTCTGCTACTCACTTATACTTACTAGGTCACTTTGGGCAACTCGTGCTGGATGAAACTCTAGGAACAAGATTTCAACTGGGGAGGAAAAATAAAACCTGTTATCTAAAAATTAAAATAGAATAAAAACTGAGATGTGTCTTTCAAAAGCTGTCTGCAGATGAGTAGGGAAATGACACGGGTAACTAGAGTCTGTTAGGCCGCCATGGCACCATGGAATCGGACATTACAAGAATGCTCTCCATGAAGGAGATTGCTGCTGCTCCGCTGTCTCACAGGAGGAAATAGAAAGTCAAGTGAGGACCAAAGCTGGACTCTGCTGCCAGGTTTGTGAAGCCAGGACAGCTCAGCCTGAGCACCCCGCTGTGCTGGTGGCACAAATGCTTGGAAGAAGCTGGGCAACTACAAGGTGGAGCTCCCACAAGTGAGAACTAAATCCTGATGACTGCTCAGCCCCAAGGTTCTAGAAGTTCTGATATTTCTGGAAAATAAGAGTTCCATTTTTATTGCTGGTACCCCCTGTGTCCCTCCTCCCATACAGAAGCCTATGGCCCCTGGGCAAAGGACAAAGGATGACAATAAAACATGTCAGGTGTGCTGACTTTGTAGGGTTTACTTGGTGAGTCATGGGCATGTAACCCAGTTGCCCATGACCCAGTGCTCTGCTGGGTGGGAAAGCAAAGCCAGCGGTGTGGATGGAGTGTTAGAAGCAAGAGGGACTTAGAATGGCAGGGTCTAAGTGGGTGCCAGGGAGAGGAAGCAGAAAGAGCAGTGTTTGAGAAGCCAGAGGTGTCTCCCTTGGAAAGCTTGGCTGCGACACGGAGTCATTCTATCTCCGCCCTGACAGGTCCCAGGGCCAGCTGTCAGGGGGCCCCTCTCACTCTCTCTCACCAGCTGAAGAGCCCTGGCCATCCTGAACTCAACACCTCCACACCCTCAGCCCTCCTGCCAGAGCCACGGGGAGACAAAAGCCACCTTCACCTCGGTCACTCTCCACCTCCAGAAAACCCTCCAGGCAAGAGGCGGGTGTACGGCTCAGCCGGTAAAAGTCCTTACCACCAAGCTGAAGCCTGAGTTCCATCCCCGAGACCCACATGGTGGACAGAAAGAACTGTAAAGAACAGACTCCCGTAAGTTGTCATCAGACCTCCATACACACACTGTGGCACAGCAACTTTCCCTCACTGTCCTATTAACACACACACACACACACACACACACACACACACACACACACACACAAGTAAATATACTTTTTAAATACTTAAAGGCTGATATGATTGTTAAGATAGAGTCCCAATAAGTGGGGTGTGGTGTGGGTGTGTGATTTTTAACTTAACTAAAATTTTGAGAATATTTTAGGAGTGATGCTTTTTATTAACTGGGTAGAGAAGAATGACTCCTTTTATACCCCCCTCCCCTTTCCAACTGAAAATTAGAAAGAAAGGAAGAAAGAAAAAAACAGCATCTGAGGGCTATCGGTATGGAAGCAGATGTGAGAGAGCAGGATATCCCACTGAGGCTTGACAATAGCAGCATGCTTAGCTATTTCCCAAGAAGGAATCCACTGCTGGGAACGAGGTTTGGATGAAACCTGTATCACCACCGCATGAGTACAGTGAGCATACATCTGTGTTTCATGGACGTTTCCACCCATGCTTCTTTAGTAGACACAAGCCACAGAAGGAAACGTTTCTGAAACCAGTCTGTTGGGGCTTGGGAGTTGGCTCTTCCAGAGAACCTGAGCCCATTTCCCAGCACCCACATAGGTGGCTCACCTCAGTGGCTCCCAAGGGATCCAATGCCTCTCTGGCTTCCATAGGCACCACCTGCACTCACACATACACATGCTCACGTTCAGACATACATCATACATGTAATTAAAAATGATGAAAACACAATTTAAAAAAAAACTAGCTTGCGTATAAAATGAGGCAGCAGAAGACTGTAGAACCCAGGGAGTTGAGGACAGTTTTGAGATGGTGAATGTTTTCTGGCATCTCTTACCAGTCCTCCATTGTCCTAACTGCTGTACAACACAGACTCCTGCAAAGTCGCATTCACAGAAACTGACACAAAGTGCCAGGAGAATCCCTACAGATCTATGGAAAGGTAGGGCAGATACTTCAAAGGTCAGCATCATTTTTACCTGCGCATATATACTTGTTCTAGAAATGGGGTATTGCTGTTCCAGCCTTGAACACTAGACTACAGGATATTGAGAAGAACGAGATTCCAAATGGCTCTAGCACTTGGGACAGAGGCCGAGGCGGAGGCTAGTGTGTTGATTTACCATTAGGGTATGAAGCTCTAGAGACAAGAGTGGGGTCAAGGAGAGGGGTAGGAAAGAGGTAAAGCCAGTAGAAAGCTGCACTTGGGCCGGTTGTGTCCAAGTGGGGCTGGCTGCCCAGTCCAAAGGCCTTGCACCCCTAAGAAGCCCTATGGGCCAGAGTAAGTATTGCCAGGGTGGTGGGACGGGAGTGGTAATGGCTTCTGTCTCCCACCGGTCGAGGTGTATGTCTCCCACCGGTCAAGGTATAGCTCATCCCGCTTTGACTCCCACACTTTTAGGTTGCCCATGTGTTGGTACCAGCCCCGATGCGACCCTACCGCTGTGTCATGGGAAAACTTCCGGGTGAGGGTAGGAGTCTATCCCGTTGCTCCTGTGTGCGGTTGAATCTCACACTATCCAGGTAGCTGGAACAGGAGACAGCCACAGTGGAAGGACCTGAGGTGAGGTTGAAAAGGGGTCTAATGTATCTATTACCTTCTTGTTACTTAATGATCACCATGGCTTTTATCCTCAACCCCCCTGTCGTGGTGCTCTGTGAGGCACAGGGCAAGCTCACGTCTAATTTTTGTTGACTAAGTGCATGGATTCAGTTTTATTGACTAAATAAGCACAGAAACATAAAGCCTCCTACTTGTCTTCTTCTGCCCCCATCCCTCACTCCATGACTGGAGCGCTGCTTTTGTCCCTAGCTCCTGTCTGCCACTCTCCCAGCCTCTGGGTCTGAAATGCTGTCGCCGCTAGTCACTCTGAAGCACAGCTCCCTACAGTCCCCAGAGAAAGTCAGTTTCTAGTCATCACCATCTCCTTCAGTTCCACTCAGAATTGCTCCCAGACTCTGAAGCAAACCTTGCCGCTCTGTCATCTGTTCTGCTGGGGCATGGTGTGTGGTGAGGTGTGGTGTGGTGAGGTGTGGTGAGGTGAGGTGTGTGTGGTGTGGTGTGGTGAAGGGTGGTGAGGTGTGTGGTGTGGTGAGGTGTGGTGTGGTGAGGTGTGGTGTGGTGAGGTGTGGTGAGGGGTGGTGAGGTGTGGTGAGGTGTGGTGTGGTGTGTGTGGTGAGGTGTGGTGAGGTGTGGTGAGGTGTGGTGTGGTGAGGTGTGGTGAGGTGTGGTGATGTGTGGTGTGGTGTGGTGTGGTGAGGTGTGGTGAGGTGTGGTGTGGTGTGGTGAGGTGTGGTGTGGTGAGGTGTGGTGATGTGTGGTGTGGTGTGGTGTGGTGAGGTGTGGTGAGGTGTGGTGTGGTGTGTGTGGTGAGGTGTGGTGAGGTGTGGTGAGGTGTGGTGTGGTGTGTGTGTGTGTGTTAAACCTGTGCTGTCTTCTTCCACTCAAAGGTTTTCCCTGTCATAATAAAATCTTATTCCTCTTTCAAAGTCATCCCAAGCACAACCTCCTCTTCAGAGTTCTTCCTGAAGGCGTGCCTCCATACTCTGAGCTCCTACAGTAGTCTTTTCCCCTCTTACCACACTGAGCCCTTCTTCCTTACAACGCAATCAACCCTGAGCTGGCTTAGGCCAGGCTTCTCTCCAACTGCTGTCCTCCCAGCTGACGGCTGCCCCCAAACCCTGGCCTCTTGTAGAGTGGGGTGCTGTCCACACTCACCACACAGAAGGTGTGTAAGACCAGCGGTGGAAGTCAGCCTCCCACATGTGCTCCAGGGCCCAGCCATCTCCAGAGTCCACAGCTGGCCGACCCTCTGCTGTCACAGTCGCAGCCTGGATGCAGGATGGTGGCTCTTGCTAACCTTATTCCATTTAAGGGCGGCAGTCAAAGCCCAAGCAAAGAAAAATGTCCCCAAGTATAAGTTCTATGGAAATGGGGAAAGGCAGCTCCTGGCAGCCACCCAGGGCAGCACCAAATTTAGTCCAAAGGTTGTATATAAATATATTAAATTTTTTATTTTAAAAATAACATGGTAATACTAAAATAGCTCACAAAAAAGAGGGAGAGCACCCCCCCAGACTTGCCACACAGACACAGCTGCTTTCATTCCTGTTGCTCCAGAACCTTTGTTCTTATAAATATCTACTTTTACACATTGAAGCATGGTGCATGTATAATTTTCTGGCTTTCTTTTTCCCTAAGAATATACGACAAATACTTGAGAGAAATATAACATAGGCATAGATATGGGCTATGATGTGTACTAGCTGTGTAGGTTTGGATCTTCCTTGAGTATCAATTTCCTCATCTGTGAAGGTCTAATTGCAGGGTCTTAGCCCTACCGTGGAAGGCTGAGTTCGGTGTGAAGAAGGGTAAATTTGGGCCTGTTCCCCAGGATCCCGGAGACAATCAGACACAGTGGGGAGTCTAGTCAAGCAGGAACTCATTTATTGCCCCACAGCAAGCATCCTTTAAAGCAAACCCCCTCCCCACAGAGTGTGTGTGTGGGGGAAGGCCAGCCAATGGTTTTAAAAGTCAGCCTATCATGTGCCTAGGCACCCTACGCTTTACCTAGTGAACACGAGCCATTCATGCAGTGACCTCATCTGGTTCAATCTTGGCAACCAGTCACCCTTTTTTGTAAACATCTCAGGACTTGCCCTCCTGACTTCCCCTCGGCGCCATCTTTAACTGGCTTGAGTGCCCTTCACTAATGAGCTCATGGGATTACTGTTTGGATGAAATCAGAACTCATTAAACTTCAGCCCTCAGCCTAGCAAATAGTAGCTACAGAATTGCAACTGTTGCATTGCCATTATCCAAATCTAGGAGTTTTTCAAGTTGACCTTCACCCAGTCATTCATACTCTATACAGGATTTTATGCTGCATACCTTTAAATATGTCCCATCCCACTTAAATGACAATCCCAGGAAGATATAACATAACTTTCTATCCAGTCCTGAGTCTCCATGATGCTTGGTAGCACTGGAAGGCCTTCAACTTTGGCTAGACTACAGAACCCAAGACAAAAACATTCCTAAAAGACTTCAGACATAGATATTTCTCCTTGGGGAAACCCTTGTCACCAAGTGTTGTGTCCACAAGGGCCTTGACTCATGGTAGTGAAAAATTCCACCAGGTTAAAGGTGTAGACAGGGGAACTTGAGCCTTGTTTCCAAACTGTGACCTCCCCAGGGCTATAGGTAAAGGAGTGATTTCAGAGTACCATTGGACCAGCTCCATGATAAAAATGGTCTCCCCATCTGCTACCTCAGCTTGTTGAGGTGCCTAGAGCTCTCACAACTGGTCCCTCTTCAGTTTGAGGTATCAGCACTGTATTACAGGCAATGATTCTATTCATCTGCATCTCACTGTAATTCTGCTAACTGCTTCTTCTTGTACTACCCTGAGGCTCTGTCCTGGCACCCTGGTGAACGACCCAGCTCTCAGGAGAAAGCTCTGCTGTGCCCACGTCAGTCTTCCACTGAGTCTAGAGACTGGCCTCCAAATCTCCAAATCCATATCGGGGCTGTGGTCCCTGCTGCTGAGATATGTTCCTGACACGCCTGCCTGAGTGGTACCATGCATAGCTTCTACAGTCTGGCTTCCATGATGTGCCCACATCCCCACTACCCACCTTTCTGTATGCTTGAGGTCTTACACTTTGACTTCTCTGATGTCAAGGCTACTCTGGAACACACAATAGGCTCTTCCCTACCCTCTTTCTGCCAGCTGGTCCTAGTATCCTTCTGGGCCTGTGGAGCAACCTCATCTCCTGTCCTATGTCCACTCCAGGGAACAAGCCCAGCTTCGAAGACCAGAGGATGTCATAGGAGTAGGCACTGGTGGAACTAATCATAGCATCCTTAAGCGGGACTTTTTTGTTCAGCTTGATGCTGGTACTTGGTTGCTTTCATTCAAGTCTTTTCCCAGTGTTTCTTTATTTGCTTCAGTGAAAACGTTTCTGTCCCTTGAGGTTTTTCCAGGAAAGGGTCTGTGTGTTTTGCAACAAACCGGGCTGAAGAGCTCTATTGTAGGTGCCGCTTCAATTCTGTATCTTTCAAAAATGTTAGGCCTTACTGAAATAAGAGACAACTGTTTTGTGTTTTCCTAGAAGAAATTTGAATTCCCTGCCTGGCTCACCAGCAACTGGCATTTCAGTTGTCATATGTGAGTTTCTACTTCCTCAGAGAGGACTTTGCACTCAGGCTGCAGAAGCCCCGCCCCTCACTCGGGCTGCAGAAGCCCCACCCTCACTCAGGTGCAGAAGCCCCGCCCCTCACTCAGGCTGCAGAAGCCCCGCCCTCTCAGCCTTCCTCTGCTCCCAGTTTGATTCGTTCACAGTATTTAATATGATTTGAAATTCTGGAATCTCTTTGTTCACTTGCTTTGCAGGCCCTTCTCTTATAAGCTGGAAAAGGCAGGGGCCACTTCTGCTTTGTAACGCTGTGTTTCTAGAGCCTGATACAAGGCCTGGTGAAAGCAAATGTGAGCCCAGCACTCAGCAGGCAGAAGCAGGAGGATCAGGAACTTACGATCTTCGGATACATAGAGTTTGAGGCTAGCCTGGCCCACATGAGACCCTGCTTCCAATGAATGAACAAAGATAAATTGTTAGTTGCAAGTTTTTCTCCTTCCCAGTGAAAATAATGATAAAATGTATAGTTTTACCAGTGTCTGATAATCATCAAGTGACCCAAGGCAGCCTCTAACCCCATTCTTTCTGCTTATTTATCATTTGCAAGTTCTGTTTACTATTGAGGGCCACTGTGAGGGCTGCCTCCCAGGGCTCCCAGATCCTCCTGAAAGGGGGTCTTATTTTGACAGCTTCACTCAGACTCACTATTTTTCTCACAACTTTTCAAAGAGCCTCCAAAGTGCCTCCTCCTGTGTTCCGCTGGCTCTCTGCCATCACATTTGCCATTTATAAAACCCCTCAGTCATTCTCACACTACGGCCGTAGGAGTGATGCTCACATCTCATCAATGACTACTCTCCGGCCAGTGGAATGAAACACCAGTGATGACCATTTTAAGGTTTATTGTATCATTTCTCTCTCTCTCTCTCTCTCTCTCTCTCTCTCTCTCTCTCTCTCTCTCTCTCTCTCTCTCTCTCTCTCTCACTCTGTGTATGTGTGTGTGTGTCTATGTGCACTCCTGTGTGTATATGCCTGAGAAGACCAGAAGAGGGCGTCAGATCCCCTGGTTGTGAGTCACTCAGTGTGGGTGCTGAGAACCACACTTCTCCAAGAGCAACAATCCCTCTTAACTGTTGAACCATCTCTCCATACAGATAGAAATTCTTAACTGACATCCAAGGAAGAAATTAAGGGAAGGAACCTGAAGAGCCTGAACTCAAAGTGTGTTTACTGCATTATTAATCAGTTGGTGCTCTTATTGATGAACCATTGGAAGCTGAAGAGAAACTTAGAGTGCAACCACAGGGCTGAGATTTTACATAAATCATCCATGTTCCTGTGCTCTGAGCATCATCTGAATCATTCTATGTATAGCCATGTTTATAAAGCTATGAGATGTATTATTGATCTTCTTCCATTAGAACTACTCAGGCCCTGCTGGTTGGGAACCTTACCTTGTCTATGGACAGGTGCCAGTGAATAGTGTCTCAATACGCATGTGATAATCTGCAGGATCTCTTCAAAGAGCTTGTCTGCCGTGACAAACAGGATCGGTGGGCAATGGAGATGGTGACACTGCTGTTTATTTTCCCTGGTCTTTGTTTCTCTCTCTCAGAAATGGTAGTCCATTTGGTGGCAAAGGGCTAAGGCAGCCTCTGATCCTTCTTTGGAGTGTGAACTATTCCACCATTTTCTAAGACAGGTGATCTCATTCAGAGGCCAATGAGAAACCACCTCACTGTACTGGAGAACCTTCTTGTACTTCAATTTCCATGTCAATAAAATGGGGGTGCTAAGACTATTTCACGAAATTATCTTTGTGGTCCCCACATTTCTCCTTTTTCCCTCTGTGTGTGTGTGTGTGTGGGGGCTTGTGTACATGTGTGAAGAGAGGACAACCTCAGATGTTCTTCGGGAGTCATTCACCTTGTTTTCTGAGGCACAGTTACTCACTGGCCTGGAACTTGCCATGTAGGCTCTGTTGGCTGGCTGGTGAACCCCAGGGATCTGCCTATTTCTACCTGTACAGTGCTTGGATTGTAAGTACATGACACCATGCCCCATTTTTTTTCTTTAAAATATAGACTCTGTGGCTAGAACTCAGATCCTCATGCTTGCAAAGCATGCATGTTACCAAAGCTGAACTATCACACCAGCCAAGGCCTGAGTCCAGGTCTGGTCTCTCCCATGTGCATTTGTTTGTTTGTATCACATTCTGGAGACTTACGGTTCTTAGAATCAATAAAAATTAACGTTCTAATTGTATCTGTGTGTGAGTGGGTATTATATATTTGGTATATGTGTACAAGTGAGTGAGTGAGTATATATGTGTGGATTATGTACATGAATGTTTGGTGTATGTGTCTGTGTATGTGGGATATATGTATGTGACATGTATATGGAGTATGTGTTTAATGTGTGTGAGAATGTAATGCATATATGTGTATGGAGGTAGGTATGTGTCTTGGGGTTTCTATTGCTGTGAAGAGACACCATGATTACAGCAACTCTTATAAAGGAAAACACTTAGTTGGGGTGGCAGTTTACAGTTCAGAGGTTCAGTCCATGATGGTGGGACATGGTGGCATGTTGGCAGTCATGGTGATGGGGAAGCAGCTGAGAGTCCTACATATTGCAGGCAACAGGAAGTGGTCCATGACACTGGGTGGTATCTTGAGCATAGAAGAAACCTCAAAAGCCAGGATGACACACTTCATCAACAAGGCCATATCTCCTAAGAATGCCACTCCCTTTGGGGACCTTTTTTCCCAAACCACCACAGTATGTGACTGTGTGGTACCTGTGGTACATGCCTGAGTGTGTGGTGCATGTGGGAATCTGTGGTACATGTGTGAGCATGCAGGGTGCACACACATACACACAGGCCAGAGGAGAACATTAGATACCCTAACCTATCACCCTCTGTTCCCTGAACCCAGAACTAGGCTGGTGGCTAGCAACCTGTTTCCAACCTCACAGTGCTAGGTTTACAAACCAATGGCCATGCCTAACTTCTTATGCAGGTGTCGGGGATTTGAACTCAAGTCCTTGTGCTTGCATATCAAGTGCTCTTATCCTTGAGCCATCTCCTGGGGTTCCCCCTAATTGTTTTCTTCACATGAGTTCATTTGTTCACCTTTGGTAGATCACACTGTGAGCCCCAAAAGGGGATGTTCTAGAACCATCCCTTAACACTTTGGGTTCTCAACCACTCTGCATTGAAAATAATAACAACAGTTACCACTTGATTGCAAACTATTAAGTCTGAAATAATCTGCTCTTCTCTTCCCAAGCCGTCTCTCACTTCGCAGGCTAAACGGAACAGATATTACTAGATCCAGTTTACAGGTGAGAAAAACAAAGCCTCCCAGCAGGCCAGATGTAAATCAGCAGCTGGGGCTCCACGCTCTGCCTTCCCCATCAACTCTGCCACCCTCTTCAAGTCACAGTCCAAAGGACACACAAACCAGAGTTAACGTGTAGAAGCAGATTTTTATTTAAAACATGTTACATATATCATTTCCTTTTTCCCTTCTGAAAACCTCACTATTAAAGGCTGGTCTCAGATTTTCAAATTCAAAAACACTCATTTCAGAAAGCAAACACATCTTATAACTAGAAGAACAGAGAGTGGTAATGTCAGTGCCGGGTAATGGATGAAATGTGTTGGGGGCTGGAACAGCCGTCATGCTTTCCCGAGTACCTGTCACTTCGCTCCCAAGCCTTTCTTTCTACCCATCAGTAGCATCCAAATGCCAGCAGAGGGGCCCAGAGACAGGTGGGGGCAGAGACTGACCTCTGAGCCTTCACCCTCCTGTACTGACTTCTCACACCTGTCCCTTAGCCTGATGCAAGCTCTGCCTTTCTGCCAGACAACTGAAAAGCAGGCAGGGAGACCCAAGTTTCTCTACACATCTCTTTACCGTTCTTTAGGACTTTTCCTCACCATTCTATCGGCACGCACACACACACACACACACACACACACACATGCATATGCACACACACATATGCACACACATATGTACATACACACACATGGATGAGCATGCGCACACAAAGATCTATTTTCATGTAGCAATGTATCTATGAGTCTTGGTATCTGATTCTGAGCATCTTTCATCTGCATAAAAAAAATGGGAGACACCTAGTCCCTGAGGAAGGCAGAGCTTTTCTGCACTCCTCCCCTGGTAATCTTCCTAGGGATACCTAGGAAACATGGGAATTTATATAAGGGCCTTGTCCAAAACAACTGGAGATCGCCTCCTTCTTCCATGTGCCCTTGATTCTTCTAAGAGAGAGATCTGGGGCTGTGGTCGCTATTACCTGCCTCTTCTTGACATTCAGGCAGTGGAAGACGTACATAGGAGAGAAAATGGTTTTCCAGTGTCTTCTCTCATTTAAAAAAAAATTTCATCTTCACAGCAGAGTTGTATTTTCCCAGGAGAACCTGAGAAGCACAATGCTCTCTTTGTTTCGCCAAATCCTGGGGAAATTCCACTGAACTTGGTGGCTGGTAAACTGGCCAGGATTCAAGAGAGGATGGTGGCTTCTTGGACATTCCCGTTTCTGAAGATTGTGGAGGAATGCTGGGTGAACTGCCAAGGAGGTAGGCAAGGATGGTTTCTATCATAAGGTTGAACTTAAGGGACTGCAGGATGGCAGGCGGTGACACTTCCAGGGATACTTTGGTGTGCACAGTGACTCCCTGGAGGTCTTGGTACCCTTATGAGCCGTGTGACTCTCCTGGCAGAAAGGCTATAACATCAGTAACGTGAGATGTTTGCCAAAGGCACAAAACAAGGCACTTGTAAGGCAGATGCTGGCCAAGACCCAAGGGTGCCTCCTTATGATTGGGAGGAGGGAGATGTAGCCAAGGGCAGTCCACAACCAGCTCGCCACCACTCCATGGAAACAACAGATTCGAGGGAATGATATAATGTAAACTACTTGATGAATACTCTGAATTGGCTGAGAACCTTGGACTCACCCCTCCCCCCCAAAAAAGATGGGCATAGTACCAAAGAAGCCAAGACGTGGGGGGTTTTATCTGGTATGCTGCTGGTGTTGAATCCTCGTGTCTGTCCTTCCAGGCCAGATTTTGCCATGACTCCCATCCCTGCCTTCATCCTATTCAATAAGTCAAGTGAAAGGCTTCCCTGTGTGTACGGGGAGAGGATGAGGAGGGACGGGATCTGAGGAGTAGCCCTGTCCTTGAGAACACCCTCAAACTGTAATTTTGAGAATTGATGAGCAATGCCATCCAGACCCGGACCGGAAGGAGCCCAGCAGGGCTGAGAGAAGAATATACTGTTGTGAGAGACTGATTCTCCCTGTCGCAGCGTCCCGAGATCCCTTCTGGGACTGAGGCTCCCTCAGACGGTCACACTGATAGGTCATCTGACCTTGCTTTGCTGCTGGCCTTGCTAAGGCGGCGCTTGTCACTATGGTAGCCAGGAGGAAGGCGGTGGCCCGGAGAGGCTCCATTGTGTTCCTCGGGCTTCTGGCCGTACTGCATGTGGATGAAACCCTCTCTGGAAATAAGCTCCTGATCTGGCACTTCCTCGGTAGCCAGAGTGTCTGGATTCTTCCGGGAGCCCATATTATTACTGAAGTCACTTAAGTACTTCTCGCCTGGCCTGTTCTTCAGACACTGATGGAAGTCAGGGGGAGGAGTGAGGCTCTGGACCAGGCTGGTGGAGGGACCAAGAAGCTGCTGCTTATCCATACCTTGCCGGGACTTGACGAAGCGCTGTCGGATCTTCTTCCAGCCCAGGTGGTAGAGCTCAGCCAGGCTGAGAAAGAGAGACAGTGCAGCCACAGCCAGCATAAAGACAATGAAGACATTCTTCTCTGTGGGCCTTGAAACATAACAATTGACTGGGTGAGGACAGGGGCTCCTGCGGCACACGTGCAGGGTATCCAGGAAGATCCCATACAGGAGGTACTGGCCCACGATGAAGGCCACTTCCATGGTGGTACGGATCAGAATGGTGCAGACATAGGTGTTGAGCAGAGTGCCCTGGAGGACAATCTTCCCATCCACTTCCTTCCAGCAGGACAGCTCTGCCTTCTCGGCCACCGGGTACTCATAGGACCCAGGGCCGCGGGCCTCTTTGGCTTTCTCCGCATCCCGCAGCTTCTGCTTTTCCTGCATGCGCACTGTGTGCATGGCATGGCCCATGTAGACCAGAGAAGGCGTGGACACAAAGATGATCTGCAGTACCCAGTAGCGAATGTGGGAGATGGGGAAGGCTTGGTCGTAGCAGACATTCTGGCAACCAGGCTGAATGGTATCACACCGGAAATCAGCCTGCTCATCTCCCCAGGAGGACTCAGCAGCGGTGCCCAGGACCAGCATTCGGAAAATGAACAGGACGGTGAGCCAGACCTTGCCAATGACCGTGGAGTGCTTGTGCACCTCCTCCAGGAACTCCCCCAGGAAGCTCCAGTCACCCATCTTGCCAGACTTAGGAGACCGATTCCGAACCTTCTGCAAACAGAGCAGAGAGAAAAAGATGTCTGTGAGGGATGTTTCAAGAGGTTTAGAAGGTCCCATCATGCTCTGGGGCAGTCATCCATACCAATGTGTTCTGTACGAAAGCGCAACCTTGTGGGTATGGTGGTGCGGACCTGTACTCGGAACACTTGGGCAGAGGATGCGGGGATCAAGAGGTCAAGCTCCCCGTGGTCTCGTAGAACGTTAGCTATAGGCTAGCGGGGCTACACGTGAGCCTATCTCAAAAACAAAAGTAATGGATGGATGGTTTAAAATAAATGATGCATGTCCAAAAAATGCCCTTTAATTATTAGAGGCTGTGTGTGTGTGTGTGTGTGTGTGTGTGTGTGTGTGTGTGTGTGTGTGTGTGTGTGTGTGTTTTGTGACGTGGCCTGGGCATCTGGAGTCAGGTCCTGAGTAGAGTTGACCTGACCCACTTTTGTACACATGAACTGACAGAGGCTGAAGCCCCGCCCCTAGATGAGGCGCTATTGGCAACTGATGGCTGCTGGACAAGAAAGAGACAGTTTTCTTCAGAGATTTGCCCCGAGAAGCTACCATGCTGCAGTAGATGACACTTCCCCTTGCACAAACTAGCAGTGTGCAAACGATTGACTTAGTCAGAAAGAGCCGATGAAGTTGGGAGGGAATAGTGGTGGGGAGAAAAGGGAGGAATTGAAGGGAAGGGATTGGGGGTGAGGTGAATTTAGTAACTTACTTTTTAAAAACATACATTGAATGAGGGCAGAGGCAGAAGAGACGGCTCAGCAGTTAAGAGTTCTGGCTGCTGCTGGTCCAGAGGACCCAGGTTTTGTTTCCAGCACCCACATGACAGCTCACAACCTCCTGAAACTCCGATTTTGGGGAATCCTGGCCTCATAGGCTGCTGCATGCACATGAATTCATGCAAACACACAATGATACACACACACACACACACACACACACACACAAAATACTTCAAAAACGAGGACAGTGTAATTTTCTTAAAGCCAAATGTACTGAAAAATGCCCTCCCATTCAAAAGTTAGAGAGGGAATTCTAAACCAAGTCAGTCACAGCATCCATGTGAAGGTTCTAGAAATGGTATAAGGTGTATGTTACAATGTAGAGTCCATGTCTTACCTCCAGACATTCTACTGCAGAAGGTGAAGTGTGATAGTTCATATCCTGTGCCTTGAAGACATCAGTCTCTCTAGGAGGCCCAGATCCCACCTACCCCCAATCTCTAGGATGGAGAGTTAAAAAGACGTGTGTTGTGGTCTAACAGCAGGTCTCTAATGGTCCTAACCAGCACCTGGCTCCTCCATGTACATTATGCTAAACTAGACCATGTAATAGGCAAGGTCCTGCCGCCCCAGAAAGATATAAATACCAGACACCTCCTTTGCTTAGGCTTTCTCTTCTAGACCAGCCTCACTCTCCTTCTATCATAACAGCTACCCCATGTTCTTTTCTTTTAAAAATGATTTGTTTTTATTTCATGTCTATGAGGGGTTTTGCCTGAATGTATATATGTGCACTAAATGTGCTCCTAGTACCAACGGAGGCAAGGAGAGGGCACTGGGTCACCTGGAACTGGAGTTATGGATGATTATTAGGTTCCATGAAGGTGCTGGGAATGGAACCTGGGTCCTCTGCAAGAAGAGCAAGTGCTCATAACCACTGAGCCATCTCTCTAGCCCCTCTCTTCTCTCTTTAAGCTAACCCTCTTAAGAAAGCTTGTTATTTGGGTCGTACCTTTTAAACCCTGGTTTTGTTGTTTGTATGACTGCCTTGTTCTTTTCCTTCTCTCTCTCTCTCTCTCTCTCTCTGTGTAGGTATGTATGCATGTATTATGTTTTGCCTATATGCTTATGCGCTATGTGTATGCGATGCCTGCAGAAGCCAGAAGAGGGCATCCGATTTTGTGAGCCACTATAGGGGGTGCTGAGAACTGAACCTGGGTCCTCAGGAAGAGAAGCCAATGTTCTACCTATAGAGCTATTTCTCTAGCCCTCTACCATTCCTTTCTAATGCTCCCTTACCTCAAGGCCCAATCACAGTTTCCAGAACCTTTCCCCTAATAAAGCTAATTCCTGAAAAGTAATTAGTCAGCTCCTTTCCCTACCCAACCATTTCTATTCCGTTATTTCTAAAGGGGCAGCCTCTTAGGAATCTGGATTTGCAACAAGCATTTCAGATGACTGTGGTGCCAGCAGTCCAGGCACTATGCTGGAGTTGGGACAGGAGGTGAGGAGTCTGCCATCTGCCTCTGAGCACTTACTTAGCTGAATCTGTTTCCTTTCATTCAAGGAGGAGCTGTACCAGAGGACCTGGGATCCAGTGGGGCGAAGAATGTGGTGAAAGGTTCAGGCATTACTCTGGCCTGCCCTGTTACCTGGCAGGATGCACTCAGGCAACACTCTGGCCAGCCCAGAGTTCTGTGAGAACCAGGCAGGTGCAAAGGACCCCTTTAAAGGACTGACCCCTGCCCGTTTACGCTGTCTTGCTCTTGCTCTTGCTCTTACTCTTACTCTCTTTCCCTCTTACACTCTTACTCTCATCTTACTCTGTCTCTCTCTCTGTCTCATATCTTATCTCTCTCTGCTCTACACGGGTTGGTTACCTCTCACCCCCCTTTTCCCTCCCCGTCCACCAATAAACTCCACGTGGGATCATTGAGTTGCGGTTTGTGTCTCCTTACTGGATAAACCTAAACATTTTAGCAACATGTGGTATACTGAGATTCACACCACAAACACTCCATGTGTTTTGCATGGCTAGTAGGCAGAATTTTTTTTTATGACTACAAAAGGCAAGCTGAGGTGGAGGAGGAGATAAGGCGTGATGGCGAGGGTAGCAAGCTCCGCTTCTCCAGAGGTGTTTCCACTGACCAGAACTGGCTGCAGGGCATCAGCTGTGTGGAAAGACAGCCAACAAGCACACTTGGGACACTTTAAAGGTACCACGGGTTCTCAGTAGGTCCCCACCTTCAGCTCCCATAAGTTTCAGGCAATATGACAACGCTGTTCTTGTCATGTCAGTGATATGGTACAGCCATTGCAACTGTGGCTCCGTTTGCTAAGAAATCTGCTTTGTCCATCTATACCAAGTCCCACTAGATTCCCAGATGCTCTCTGTAGTGATTTGAATGAGAATGACCCCCAACATTATAGGCTTGAATGGTTGGCCTTAGTATTCGGGTGGAGTTTGGGGAGAGGAGGGCAGTGGGCGGGGCTCACTCCAAACTCTGCCCAATGTCAGGAAGCCCCACAGATGCTCAAGACCACACCTACAGGATATTTAAACAGCCTCTCAAAGGAAAGGCCATATGGTTTTCCTGTTCGTTCTCCCCCTCTCCTCTGGGGGGGACGGAAGACCACCCAGGAGAGTTTTGCTCACTAAACCTGGTCTTTTAATTCTCAGTTTGGCATGGTTTTGTTTGCTGTGTAGGCAGAGAGACGGAGTAGAGAAATCTTTCACCCAGTTAGTGGAACAGTTTGGGAAAGACTACGAGGTGTGGCCTTGGAGGAGGAGGCGTGGCCTTGGAGGAGGCGTGGCCTTGGAGGAGGCGTGGCCTGGAGGAGGCGTGGCCTGGGAGGAGGAGGTGGGCCACTGGTGTAGGGTTTGTGGTTTCCAAAGGCCACACCAGGCCCAGTCTCACTCTGCTACCTGTGGATCACAACGCAAAGCTCTCAGCTGCTGCTCCAGCATGGCGCCTGTCTGTTTCCTACCATGATGATCATGGACTAACCCTCTGAAACAGCATGCAAGCCCCCAGGTAAATGCTTCCTTTGTAAGAGCTGCCTTGGTTACAGTGCCTCCTCACAGCAGCAGAACAGTACCTGAGACACCCTCCTACCAGCTACTTCTGACATACCCCTGCTCCCAACGCTGAATCCCACTGACCCAGCCATTGCCTTCCCTGCTCCCTCCTCCTCTGCTACCTTGGCGATGCTCAGGGCACTCATTCTCCACCCAGCGCATCTTATCTTCTCCCCAGCAGGGAGATTTTGAGAACAGAGTCTCTTGCCTTTTCTTCTGTCATTCAGAGACTGGCCCAAAGTAGGTGTTCAGTAGATCTTAGCTGAGCAACAGAGGAATAAGAGGCACTGGTGTTCGCTGCCCAAAGGTAAGCCAATTGCTTGTTCCTCGCCTGTGTGCTGTTAGCAAGCTGAACCACCCAGATGGATGGAGCCAAAGAAGTGGCTCAGTGGTCAAGGGCACTTGTTGCTCCTAGAGAGGACCTAAGTCCAATTTCTAGGACTCACATGGTGGCTCACAACCATCTGTCACCCCCAAGGGACCTGGACTCTCTTTTAACTTCTTGTGGGCATTTGTATCCACATACACACATAATTAAAAATAAAATAAATCTTTAAAAAATGAAAATGAGAAAGGGAGCTGGAAATGGAGAAATAATCGCTAGTTAAGAGAACACAGGTATAGGAGCTGTTCAGACTTCAAATTCCTGTTGTTACATGCTGAGCTTAAATGAGTAATTCAGTGCTCTACCACCTCACCCACAAAGTGGGTGGAGAGACTGGGACTCAGCTAACATGTCTACCGGGTGACATATAAACAGCACTGGCACAGCGCTCAGCACGTGGCAAACAAAAACCAAAGCCATTGCCAACTAGACTGTAGTTAGGAAAAAGGAAAAGAGGGGAAAGTGTGTTACAACAGAGAAAAGAGAAATGGAAGGAAGAACAGAAAGGGAGGAGACATGAGAAGAAAATGAACATTTAAATGGAATAAAAATAAATGGCATATTCTTCCAGGATCTGGGACAAGCATTCCACATTTAATCCTGGAAGAATTTTCTCTTGATCTTTTCACTCTGCCACTCATTCCATACTAGTCCCCAAGGAAGTATAAAAATAATTCCAGACAACCACTGTAACACTTTGGTCTGATCTGCCAAGGGGTTTGACTGTGGGTCCCTTGTTTGTGGTCCAGGGGTGACACCTGGAAGTAGAAATGCCTAGGTTTAAAAAATCATATGAAAAATG